TTTTATCATTTTATCATTAGTAATCAAGCATCACAATAAGTATGGAAGACCAAAGAGTCCACTTCCCACTGAGTTTCCTGGAAGTCTCTCCCAATGAAGCTGTTGGGGACATGACTCACTTATAGAGCAAGCTGGGGGCCCTCACAGTAGACCGGAATCCTTGTGGGGTCTGCTCCACCTCGTAGGCATCACAGGGCTCATCAGCACACTCCATGGAGCCTGCACAGAAACCATGACATCTCACTCAGAAACAATGTTGCTCTGTGGACAACAGCTTTTGCCTCAGCTGTCAACCGCTGTTGGGGTTTAAAAAAAGCAATACACAGGCATAAAAAACAGCCAGACACTGTACATTCCATGACACTGCTCTGATACTCCTTCTGACCTGATCTTATAAGAAATAAACCATAAAAAAAACACATAATGACTATTTTAAATCTTTCAGTCTTGGAACCCTGGGAAGGTAGCACATGTATACAGTAGTTCCCCCTCATCTGTGGTTTCGCTTTCCAAGTTTTCAGTTACCTGCAGTTAACTGCTGTCCGAAACCATTACTACAATAAGATACTGGGCATGAGACAGAGAGACCACATTCACATCACCTTTATTACAATGTATTAACTGTTCTATTTTGTTAGTGATTGTTATTAATCTCTCACTGTGCCTGATTAACAAACTAAACTTTACCAAAGGTTTCTATATACAGTTGGCCCTCCATATACAGGGATTCTCCATCAGTGGATTCAACCAACCACAGACTGAAAATATTTGGAAAAAAATCCAGCCTGGGCAACAAAGTAAAACCCCTCATCTCTACAAAGATTAGCTGGACATGGTGGCACATGCTCGTAGTCCCCACTACTCAGGAAGATGATGTGGGAGAATCATTTGAGCCCAGGAGGTGACGCTGCAGTGAACCAAGGTCGTGCCACTGCACTCCAGAATGGGCTTGTCTCTTAAAAAAAAAAAAAATTACTTGGAAAAAATAAAATAAAATAACAACACAGCAATAAAAATAAAACAAATTAAAAAACAATACAGGCTAGGCATGGTGGCTCATGCCTGTAATCCCAGCACTTTGGGAGGCCAAGGCAGGCGGATCACCCAAAGTCAGGAGTTTGAGACCAGGCTGGCCAACATGGTGAAACACCATCTCAACTGAAAATACAAAAATTAGCCACGTGTGGTGGCGGGCGCCTGTAGTCCCAGCTACTGGGGAGGCTGAGGCAGAACTGCTTGAACGTGGGAGGTGGAGGTTACAGAGAGCCCAGATCATGCCAGTGCACTCCAGCCTGGGTGACAAGAGCAAAACTCTGTCTCGAAAAATAATAATAATAATAATAATAAACAATACAGTACAACTATTTACAGAGCATTTGCATTGTATTGTGTATCATATGTATTACAAGAGAGGATTTAAAGTAGGATGTGTGTAGGTTACATGCAAATACCACGATGTTCTACAAAAGGGACATAGGCATCTGAGGATTTTGGTAACATTACTGGGCAATGGACTAAATACATATGTTCATTTACTTCAAAAATTTATATATAATTACTTTAGGGTCAGGTGCGGTGGCTCACGTCTATAATCCCAGCACTTTGAGAGGCCGAGGCAGGTGGATCACTTGAGGTCAGGGGTTCAAGATCAGCCTGGCCAACATGGTGAAACCCTGTCTCTACTAAAAATACAAAAATTAGCTGGGCATTGTGGCACATGCCTGTAGTCCCAGCTACTTGGGAGGCTGAGGCACCAGAATCACTTGAACCTGGGAGGCAGAGGTTGCAGTGAGTGGAGATTACATTACTGCATTCCAGCCTAGGTGACAGAGCGAGACTCCATCTCTAATAATAATAATAATTACAACTCCACAGACAAAGGAACTTAATTTTGTCATAGAATATTAATGGTTAATATTAATAACTAAAATTTCTCCTTATGATATTTAAACCTCTGTACAAAGAAGAAACATAACTTAGAAATTGCAACCAAAAACACTTCAGCTAAACTCAAACTCATCAGTACCCTTAGACATGAACAAAAACAGAGCTATATGAGGCCAAACATCTCAAATTTCAGTGCTGACACAGAAACACATTGAAACAAACAAAAAATTGATCCTACAATACACAGGACATTTTACTTCTTATCTGACCAATAAGCAACTAGGATTACCTTGATAGAAGTCCTCTTCATCTTCTTCATGTTGATAGGTCTGTTCTTGGACTGGATTCTTCCTGTAATTCCGGCCATCAATTCTTATAAGCTGTGGACGCAGAACTTCCATGACACTTTCTTCAAATAATATTCTGATGACGTCCTGAAAAATATAATTACCATCTTACCCTTCTTAGTGAGAATTAAACGTCCTATCTCTAGTATCTGAACCATTGTGTAGGTCTGAATTGGGCATCAGTTCACAGTATCTCCCACACAAAAGCAGCACTGTTTCCCATTGGATTTCCCATCTGTAAACCAGTTTAGGTTAACTGCTGTATTTTCTACCACACTGGCTCACTCTAGAGAGCAAAGTAATTTGTAAACTATTTATCACCCACCCCCCCAAAAAAAGGGATTAAAAGGCATATACTCTTTAAAAAAAAAAAAAGAAAGAAAGAAAGGAAGGAAGGGAGAGAGGGAGGGAGGGGAGCAGTGGCTCACATCTGTAATCCTAGCACTTTGGGAGGCCAAGGTGAGAGGATTGGTTGAGTTTGGAGTTCAAGACCAGCCTTGTGAACATAGTGAGGCCTCCCCTCTAAGAAAAGAAAAAGAGGACCAGGTGCGGTGGCTCACACCTGTAATTCCAGCACTTTGGTAGGCCGAGGTGGGCGGATCACCAGGTCAGGAGTTCAAGACCAGCCTGACCAACAGGGTGAAACCCCGTTTCTACTACAAATACAAAAATTAGCTGGGCATGGTGGCACGCGCCTGTAATCCCAGGTACTCAGGAGGGTGAGGCAGGAGAATCTCTTGAACCCGGGAGGTAGAGGTTGCAGTGAGCCGAGATCGCACCACTGCACTCCAGCCTAGGCAACAGAGCGCAACTCCGTCTTAAAAAAAAAGAAAGAAAAAGAGAAAACGGCCGGGCATGGTGGCTTACACCTGTACTCCCAGCACTTTGGGAGGCTGAGGAAGGAGGACTGCTTGAGCCCAAGAGTTTGAAACCAGCCTGGGCAACATGGCAACACCCTGTTTCTCAAAAACAAAGAGATTAAAAATAAAAGGCAGCCTTTGAAAGAGAGAATAAAGCTCTCTTTATTACTTTAACCTAATAAGTAAAATGCGAACTTCAGTGGTTATCTAACCATTTGCACAGTATCTTTTTTTTTTTTTTTTTTGAGACGGTGTCTCACTCTTGTCCCCCAGGCTGGAATGCAATGATACAATCTCTGCTCACTGTAACCTCTGCCTCCCGGGTTCAAGTGATTCTCCTGCCTCAGCCTTCCAAGTTGCTGGAACTGCAGGCATCCGCCACCACCCCCGGCTAACTTTTTGTTATTTTTAGTAGAGACTGGGTTTCGTCATTTTGGCCAGGCTGGTCTGGAACTCCTGGCCTCAGGTGATCCACCAGCCTCAGCCTCCCAAAGTGCTGGGATTACAGGAGTAAGCCACTGCGCCCAGCAAACTCTATCTAGCAAGATAAAGACAATGAGGGATATTTAATACACTTAACCATCCAGAAAAAAAAAAGCCCCTAAGTACTTTCAGAGGTGCTAGAAATTCACATAAAACAATCAGTTCCAGTTGCCTGTCAAAGCAGTAAATTAATAACAACTTAACCAATATGGTTCTCAGACCAATATACTGCTGAGGGGAGGAATCCAGTTTCTACAGGCCACTGCCCAACAAAATGCACATCACTCACTGAGAAGCCAAGCTTCTGGTCACACCACTTAATGGATCCATAATTTAGGAAACAAAGGTTCCTTATAGGCTAGCTGAAGTTAAATTCAGCCAGTATTCCTACCACGTACAGCTTAGTCTTGAAGCCCAAAATACTGAAGAGTTCCAAAGAAAACAAGTTGATCCTTACTAAATACACTAACGCTCAAGCCAACGTGGACGCGGTGGCTCACGTCTGTAATCCCAGCACTTTGGGAGGCCGAGGTGGGTGGATCATCTGAGGTCAGGAGTTCAACACCAGCCTGGCCAAGATGGTGAAACCCGTCTCTACTGAAAATACAAAAAGTAGCCGGGCTTGGTGGCGGGCGCCTGTAATCCCAGCTACTCGGAAGGCTGATGTGGCACGAGAATCGCTTAAGCCTGAGAGGCGGAGGTTGCAGTGAGCTGAGATCGCGCCACTGCACTCCAGCCTGGGTGACAGAGCGAGACTTCGTCTCAAAAAAATAAATAAATTAAAATAATAATTGATTATTTGTGTGCTTACAGGACCAAGAAGAGGTTTTGTGAGAAATAACAACATAGAAGGTAAACCGACATGGATAGAGGAAAAGAGCACATCATTAGCAATAGTCGATGACATCACAACCCAGTGGTCTATTCCCTGAGGCCTCTAAAGTTCTCAATGAAAAAACACTTTCAAGGCGAAAGCTAAAAAAAAAAAAAAAAGTTCCCCACAAAAGCAGACTAAGGTGAAAGTCGGGCCCTCAGAACAAGAGCTCCGGAAAAACAGGTAGTCGTCGCGGAGACAGCAAACGCAGCATCTACCTGTCCTACATGGCCCTGCGCTACGAGACTGCTCGGAAGGAAAGGCGGGAATAACCAACTTAACCCTGCTTCGAGGTGGTTTGGAGAGGAAGAGGAAAGCCGTGTCTTTCTGCAATATCGTGAGGGAAGCCGAGACCCCGAATCATCAAAGAGAAGGAGCAGAAGAGGACTAGGCGGCTGCAGGTAAACCAAGGTACGGCGAGGAGGCAAAGGAACCGGAATTCCTCTCCACGAGCGCGTTCTCGGCTCCCCTCCTCGCGTCTCCGCCCCGGCCACGCCCACCACGGCACGGGCGCGCGCACGCCGCCTTCGCCGCGGGCCCCTCCGTGGAGGCGCGAGCACGCCGCCGTCCTCGTCGTGGTGAGCGTGACCGCTCCGGCTGGTCCTGGGGGCGGGGCTGTAGGGGAAAGTGCTAAAGCCGCTGAGGTAAGAGGCCGAGGGCTGAAGGGCCCTGGGGAGCTTGGTGAAAAGGGAGTTAACCCTTAGGATCCTACCTGCAGGGACTAGAAAAATGGAGAAGGTAGGAGGAGAAACAGGAGACTGCTGTAGCAGACGTGCGACAGGAAATTTTCCCAGGCCGGGTTTGACTGAGTGCGCATGCGGGCCAAGGGGTGGCGCCTGCGCAGTGGGACAGCGCCGATGGCGTCGTTTCCTGTGGACCCAGCTGGGTGGGAAATGTGGCTAGGAGTTAGCTTGGGAGCCGCTGGTGTTCTGACCGCTCCCCTCTCTGGCCACTCTCTCTCCACGCCCACCCCACCCCCGGTTACAGCTGCGGCGTCTGTTTGGTTTGGGTTGTAATCCAGCTGTTTTGAAGTGGAACGATTTTTTGATGATGGAATTTAATGATTGCTTGTAATGATTTGCCTTTGTACTAGGGTAGGAACTTTTAAGGAATTACTCTTTTTAAGAAAATAGGCATATGTCTGTTAGAAAGGAAAGGAATTTATATTCATAAAACTATGAAGGCCGGGCGCGGTGGCCCACGCCTGTAATCCCAGCACTTTGGGAGGCCGAGGCTGGCGGATCACGAGGTCAGGAGATCGAGGCCATACTGGCTAACACGGGGTTTCACCGTGTTAAATACAAAACAAAATTAGCTGGGCGTGGTGGCAGGCGCCTGTAGTCCCAGCTACTGGGGAGGCTGAGGCAGGAGAATGGCGTGAACCCGGGAGGCGGAGCTGGCAGTGAGCCGAGATTGTGCCACTGCATTCTGGCCTGGGCGACAGAGGGAGACTCCGTCTCAAAAAAAAAAAAAACTATGAATGCGAGGTCATCCCTGCCGTACATGAAGTAAATGTTTAAGCATCTTAGCTCGGACACAGCAATCTGTCCACAAAGCATCGTTACTCTCCTGTGAGGATCTCCACTGTCAGCCCCAACTTCCCTGACAGGGCCAAATCCCAGGATACTTCATCAGTATTTGTTCAACAGAACATTACTGAGCACCTCCGGTGGGCCTCTCAGACTAGTTGAAAATAGAGTTGTGCGAATAGATCTGCACAATGAGAAAAAAAATCCGTAATGAACCAATACTGATGACACCACGCTTGTCTATCTCCTGCATAACCTTTGCTGAGCCCTGCGTTCTGTCATTTGTTCTTCATTCATTCATCCGAAATGCTCAGGAAGCACTGTGGAAACACTGTGACCCAGGTTCTGTGCTCGGCATTGAGGGTAGAAAGACTTCGAAGGTGGCAGGATGTTTCTTAAGATCATGAACCTTAAAATGAAAGTGTAGGCCGGGCGCAGTGGCTCACACCTGTAATCCCAGCACTTTGGGAGGCCGAGGCGGGCCGGATCACGAGGTCGGGAGATCAAGATTTTCCTGGCTAACATGGTGAAACCCCGTTTCTACTAAAAAAAATACAAAAAATTAGCCGGGAGTGGTGGCGGGCGCCTGTAGTCCCAGCAACTCGGGAGGCTGAGACGGGAGAATGGCGTGAACCCGGGAAGCAGAGCTTGCAGTGAGCCGAGATCGCACCACTGCACTCCAGCCTGGAGTGCTTAATAGAAGCACTTAATAGAGCGAGACTCCGTCTCAAAAAAAATAAATAAATAAAAATGAAAGTGTAAAGTGCTTAATAGAAGGTACTGGCCCTCCTCCTGAGCAGATTCTTTCCCCTCTGGGAGCTTGCTAACTCTGTTAGATGGAGAGAATTAAGACTTTTTCCATGAAGTTTTTTCATAGTAAGTATGAAAAACTGGGATCTGCATAGGAAAAAACACTCAGGAGTAACTCTCCGTTAATGATTTTGAACAGCCAAGATTTATGAAGTGTTTACTAAGCCTGTAACCATTCCAAGTGTTTTACGTGTATTAATTAATCTTTGTCACACCTGTGTGAGGTAGGTGATGTTATTACAGGTTGAGTATCCTTAATCTAGAAATCCAAAATCCTCCAAAATTTAAAACTTGAGCACTGACGGGATGGTCAAAGGAAGTGCTTTTTGGAGCATTTTGAATTTTAGATTTTCGGATTTGGGAGGCTTAATCGTTACGTATAATGCAAATATCCCAAAACCTGGGGAAAAATCCGAAATCCAAAATACCTCCAGTCCCAAGCATTTGGGATGAAGGGTACTCAACCTGTTTCCCGTTTTGCAGATAAGACAACCAAGGAACAAAAAGATCCCGAAGTGGGAGGCGGACGCGGAGGTTGCGGTGAGCCAAGATCGTGCCGTTGCACTCCAGCCTGGGCAACAAGAGCGAAACTCCATCTCAAAAAAAAAAAAAAAAAAAAAAAAACAGAAGTTGCAATTTTTTACATTTTTGCCATCAGACCTTGGCAATGACCTTGAGCAGTACGATATAAATAACTCCCACATGCTTAGCGTTCCAATAATGGAACACTAGGCATAAATGGGTGAAATGATTTGTCCACAGTCTTGCAGCAAGTAAGTAGCAAAACCAGAACTCAGAGAGGCTTCATAATCTTACCCACTATGCTGCTTTACCTTGCACATGACAAATGACATGCCAACAAGCCATTGCTTCAGAATGTCACAGCAGATAAGCTAAAATTGTCTCTACACCTCAGTTTTATTTTTTCATGTATAAAATGAGGAAGTTGGGTTAGATGACTTTTAAGGAATCTGGTTTCTGTGAAATATTTAATTCACTCAGCAAACATTTACTGAAATGAACAGCTACTTCCTTACCATAGACCAGGTGTTATGTTTGGTTCTGGTGATCAGTTAATGCCTGCCCTGAGAGCAGTTACAACCTAGAGTTTATTAGTTTTGCTTTACTCTCATTTACCACTTGCTGGTAGCGTTCAAAATTTAACTGAAATCTTTAGAGCTAGAAATTATTTAGGTTTATCCTTCCACCTCAGCAGAAAACTGCTTATTTAAAGTTAGCTTTGTGCTAATTCTGTGCTCCAGTTTTTAACTCTGGCTGTTTTGTGTATGGAACGATAGAAGTTCTGAGAGTTTGAAAGAAAACAGGATGAAAGGGAATTCCTTTGATTATATTCAGCTTAGAAGTCACACTGTGGCTACCTTTAGAAGCTGTCCTCACTCTGGCAGTTGCTTGGGTGCTCTGCTGAGCACCTGACTTCAAAATATAAAGTATAAAGCATTTGCAACTGAATAGAGCATTTATTATAGAGTTTTAAATCTTAGGTGAGATATATAAACAGTTCACCGTGGGTTCTACTCTGAACTGATGGGAAATAAAGACTGAGCTACTCTCCAAAAGGTGGCTAAGTTGTCTGTATACTTTATTTGAATCCCACCAGGTATTCACTTAGAGATTTGGACCTGATCCCTTACTGCTTAAATTCAAAAACAATTCAAAAACTTGTCAGGCTATATTTTGACCCAGTGTATTCCGGAAGATTGGATATTAATCTAACTCCAAAAGTTGTTGCCTCTGTGGATATGAGTACAATTTGAAAAGTTAGCTCAGAGAAAAAAGGAAGAGTGATCTAATAACAAGATTGAAAATGTCGGCTGAGCAGAGTGGCTCAGGCCTGTAATCCCAGCACTTTGAGAGGCTGAGGTGGGAGAATCACTTGAGCTCAGGAATTGGAGACCAGCCTGAGCAACATAGTGAGACTTTATCTCCACAAAAAATAAACAAAATTAGTGGAGTTTGGTGGCACATGCCTGTAGTCCCAGCTACTCGCGAGACTGAGGTGAGAGGATAACTTGTACCCAGGAGGTCAAGGCTGGAGTTAACCAAGATCGTGCCACTGCATTCCAGCCTGGGAAACATAGTGAGACTCTGTCTCCAAAAAAATAAAATAAAATAAAATGTCATTAATCAATTTGCATTTTTGCTGACAGTCTTGTTATAATAGCTGTTCTACCGTTGTTCCGGGTTCCCACTTCACTATTAATCAGTGTTACTTATAGACATGTAATGAAGTCAGAAAGCAAGCTCTGCTTCTCTAACAACCTTAAATCTTCATCACAAAATTAAGCAAACAGAACAGCCAGTGTTTCAAGACATACTATATCATTTTCCTTACTAGGAAACTGGATTTTATGTATATAAATTTTATATTTGTATTTCATTTCCTCACTTTTTTCTTTTTTTTTTTTTTTTTTTTTTTGAGACGGAGTCTGGCTCTGTTGCCCAGGCTGGAGTGCAGTGGCTGGATCTCAGCTCACTGCAAGCCCCGCCTCCCGGGTTCACGCCATTCTCCTGCCTCAGCCTCCCGAGTAGCTGGGAGTACAGGCGCCCGCCACCTCGCCCGGCTAATTTTTTTTGTATTTTAGTAGAGATGGGGTTTCACCGTGTTAGCCAGGATGGTCTCGATCTCCTGACCTCGTGATCCGCCCGTCTCGGCCTCCCAAAGTGCTGGGATTACAGGCTTGAGCCACCGCGCCCGGCCACTTTTTTCTATTTTCAAAAAACATGGCCAGGTGTGGTGGCTCACGCCTGTAATCCCAGCACTTTGGCAGGCCAAGGCAGGTGGATCACCTGAGGTTGGGAGTTCAAGACCAGCCTGACCAACATGGAGAAACCCCATCTCTACTAAAAATACAAAATTAGCTGGGCATGGTGGCACATGCTCATAATCCCAGCTACTTGGGAAGCTGAGGCAGGAGAATTGCTTGAACCCGGGAGGCAGAAGTTGCGGTGAGCCGAGATTGCGGCACTGCACTCCAGCCTGGGCAACAAGAGGGAAACTCTGTCTCAAAAGAAAAGAAAAGAAAAGAAAAAAACATAAGTTTCAGCTAGGCATGGTGGCTCACACCTGTAATCTCAACACTTTGGGAGGCCAAGGTGGGAAAATTGCTTGAGCCCAGGAGAGCTATACCAGCCTGGGGGCAACATGGTGAGAAGTTGTCTCTACTAAAAGTAAAAAAAAAATAGCTGAGCATAGTGGAATGCACCTGTGGTCCCAGCGACTTGGGAGGTTGAGAGGTTGGTGGATTGCTTGAGCGCAGGAGATTGAGGCTGCAATAGCCATGATCACGCCACTGCACTTCAGCCTGGGTGACAGAGTGAGAGCTTGCCTCAAAACAATAGGTTTCAACTCTTTTATAATAAATATGTTCATTTTGCAACTAGCAAAAAAAAAAAAAAAAAAAAGAAAGAAAAAAATTCAGTCTGGTCTAGGTACAGTGGTGTTTCCACTAACTGATCACCACCAGTTACAGATTTCTTTGTTCCTTTTCCACTCCCACTGCTTCACCTGACTGGCCAAAAAAAAAAACCAGCTCAGCTAAAATTCTGTCTGACCATTATAGAGAAAAATTCATTTACAATCCATTTTCCTCCTCCCCACCCCACCTCCCCAAGATGGAGTTTTGCTCTAGTGGCCCAAGCTGGAATGCAATGGCACCATCTCGGCTCACTGCAACCTCCATCTCCTGAGTTCAAGCTATTCTCCTACCTCAGCCTCCCAAGTAGCTGGAATGACAGGCACCTGCCACCATGCCCAGCTCATTTTTGTATTTTAGTAGAGATGGAGTTTCGCCATGTTGACCAGGCTGTTCTTGAACTCCTCACCTCAGGTGATCTGCCCGCCTCGGCCTCCCAAAGTACTGGCATTATAGGCATTAGCCACCAGCCTACAATCTTTTTTGAAGTCCTTTCTTCTAATTGGGTTAAAATTCACATAACATAAAATTAACCACTAGCCATTTTCAAGTGTACAAATCAATATAAAATTATTTTTAATCTAAATACTAGAACTTTATCCATTACAGCAGCCAATAGCCACATGTAACTACTTAAATTTTAATTAATATTAAATAAAATTTAAAATACAGTTTTTCAGTCATACCAGTTTATAGGTACAACATGAAGCTAGTGGCTACCATATTGTACAGTGCAGAAATGGAACACTGGAACATTTCCATCATGGCAGAAAGTTCTATTAGACAGCGTGGCACTAAACCTTTTTTTTTTTTTTTGAGACAGAGTCTGCTCTGTCACACAGGCTGGAGTGCAATGGAGTGATCTCAGCTTACTGCAACCTCCACCTCCCAGGTTCAAGTGATTCTCCTGCCTCAGTCTGCTGAGTAGCTGAGGCTACAGGCGCCCACCACCACAGCCGGCTAATTTTTTTGTTTGTTTGTTTGTTTTGAGATGGAGTCTCACTCTATTACCCAGGCTGGAGTGCAATGGTGCAGCCTTGGCTCTCTGCAACCACCGCCTCCCGGGTTCAAGCAATTCTCCTGCCTCAGCCTCCTGAGTAGCTGGGATTACAGGCGCGCACCACCACGACCAGCTAATTTTTGTATTTTTAGTAGAAATGGGGTTTCACTGTGTTGGCCAGGCTGGTCTCGAACTCCAGACCTCGTGATCTACCCACCTCGGCCTCCCAAAGTGCTGGGATTACAGGTGTGAGCAACCGCACCTGGCCATTTTTTCTTTAAAAAATACTATATACCGGCCGGGCGCAGTGGCTCAAGCCTGTAATCCCAGCACTTTGGGAGGCCGAGACAGGTGGATCAAGAGGTCAGGAGATTGAGACCATCCTGGCTAACACGGTGAAACCCCGTCTCTACTAAAAATATAACAAATTAGCCGGGCGAGGTGGCGGCGCCTGTAGTCCCAGCTACTCTGGAGGCTGAGGCAGGAGAATGGCGTAAACCCGGGAGGCGGAGCTTGCAGTGAGCTGAGATCGCGCCACCGCACTCCAGCCTGGGCGACAGAGCGAGACTCCGTCTCAAAAAAAAAAAAAAAAAAAATACTGTGTACACTTTTTAGAGAGCTGAGCGCAGTGAGACTTTGGGAAGCCAAGGTGGGAGGATCGCTTGAGACCAGGAGTTAAAGACCAGACTGACTGGGCACGATGGTTCATGCCTGTAATCCCAGCACTTTGGGAAGCCGAGGCGGGCAGATTACGAGGTCAAGAGATGGAGACCATCCTAGCCAACATGGTGAAACCCCGTCTCAACTAAAAATACAAAAATTAGCTGGGCTTGGTGGTGGCGCCTGTAGTCTCAGCTACTCAGGAGGCTGAGGCAGGAGAATCGCTTGAACCTGGGAGGCAGAGGTTGCAGTGAGCAGAGATCGCGCCATTGCACTCCAGCCTGCCGACAGGTGAGACTCCATAAATAAATACATATGTACATACATATATACACACCAGACTGGGCAACATAGCAAGACCTCATCTCTGTTGTAAAAAAAAAAAATGGAAAGAGGCCAGATGCAGTGGCTTATGTCCGTAATCCCAGCACTTTGGGAGGCCAAGGCAGGTAGATCACCTGAGGTTAGGAGTTCGAGACCAGCATGGCCAATGTGGTGAAGCCCCGTGTCTGCTAAAACTACAAAAATTAGCTGGGCATGGTGGCTCATGCCTGTAATTCCAGCTACTTGGGAGGCTGAGACAGGAGAATCGCTTGAACCTAGGAGGTGGAGGTTGCAGTGAGCTGCTATCGTGCCACTTTAGTATGGGTGACAAGAGCAAGACTGTGTCTCAAAAAAAAAAAAATAAAATACCATATACACTTTTTAGAATTTTTGTTAAAGTCGTGTAAGCTTCTGTGGCAAAGAGAGTGTTTGTTTTGAACTTTAGTAAGGTGTCATGTATTCAGGACAGTTTTCTCTATAACATTTGCATTTTTTGATATGCAATAAGGTTAAACACTCACAGGTGCTCTGTTCATAATAGGCAATGATTTCCAAGATTGTTTCCTGAACTTTTTGTTCCGGTTTTGGGACGCCACCAAGTGATAAGTTTGGGTATTACATTTGAATGAAAAGGTTAATTTTTTTTGAGAGAGAGTCCTGTTCTGTCACCCAGGCTCACTGCAACCTCTGCCTCCCGGGTACAAGCGATTCTCTTGCATCAGCCTCCCGAGTAGCTGGGATGAGAGGCGCCCACCACCACGCCTGGCTAATTTTTTTTGTATTTTTAGTAGAGACAGGGTTTCGTCATGTTGGCCAGGTTGGTCTTGAACTCCTGACCTCAGGTGATCTATCTGCCTCCACCTCCCAAAGTGCTGGGACTACAAGCGTGAGCCACCGTGCCTGGCCAAAAGTTAATTTTTAATGAGAAGGCCAATAGGTATTTCCTAACTAGTTCCCCTTCCCTGGGAACAGAACACAGTGTTACTCTGGAATTTTATTTGGAAAATATTATAATTTATTTATGTGGCTTGATCAGGATGTATCCAAGACAAACTGTCCTGTGAAGTGTGATGCTTTTATCCTCATATAACTTATTTCCTCAGTCAAATTTCTGCCTTGGCACTGCCATATCACCCCTTCATAACTCATGAATCACCCACAGTCAATCTCAGTTGACATAAACAGTTTGCTAATGGTAGGAATTCATGTTTTAAGTAGATATACTATTCTTAAGCTTATTTTCAATTCAAAACCTGACTGATATTTTGGCCTGAGACATCAATAAAATATCATGAAAGTAGAGAGGATAGAAAAACGGGGAGCTAACTCTTTATAAAACTGCATGCTGACCCTTACGGCAGCTCGAATGAAATGTTGTCACTCTCACTTCCATAAACTTGCCAATTGCTGTTTTTCTTTCTCTGTAGTGAAGTAAGAACTCTGCTAGAGAGGAAATGGCTGCTTCATCATCATCCTCTTCAGCTGGTGGGGTCAGTGGAAGTTCTGTCACTGGATCTGGTTTCAGTGTCTCAGACCTTGCCCCACCACGGAAAGCCCTTTTCACCTACCCCAAAGGAGCTGGAGAGATGTTAGAAGGTGATCTCATGCTGCTTTCTGAATAATTGGATTCAGACCTGCAATGAATATTAATTGTGAAGAAGCTATTAAGTGGATTAAAGATGAGTTTGCCCTGATTTCAGCTCTACATTTCATCTCTTGTCCCCATCTCAAAATAATATATTTAAAAACAGTCTTGCTCCAGAATCAGAATGTTGGAGCTGAAAAGGACTTTGGAAATCAAGGAAGTCATCTAAAGTTATTTAGATCCAGAAAAGTTAAGTGATTTGACCAGGTTAAAGGCAGAGGTAGGGCTGGGCACCGTGGCTTATCCATGTTATTCCAGCACTTTGGGAGGCCAAGGCAGGCGGATCACTTGAGGCCAGGAGTTCGAGACCAGCCTGGCCAACATGGTGAAACCCCATCTCTACTAAAAATACAAAAATTAGCCGAGCATGGTGGTAGGCGCCTGTAATCCCAGCTACTGGAAAGGCTGAGACAGGAGAATCACTTGAACAGTAGAAGTTGCCATGTGCCGAGATCATGCCACTGCACTCCAACCTGGGCAACAAAATGAGATTCTGTCTCAAAAAAACAGAGTTGGCCGGGCACAGTGGCTCACGCCTGTAATCCCAGCACTTTGGGAGGCCGAGGCGGGCGGATCACGAGGTCAGGAGATCAAGACCATCCTGGCTAACATGGTGAAACCCCGTCTCTACTAAAAAATACGAAAAAAAAAATTAGCTGGGCGTGGTGGCGGGCGCCTGTAGTCCCAGCTACTCGGGAGGCTGAGGCAGGAAAATGGCGTGAACCCGGAAGGCAGAGCATGCAGTGAGTCAAGACCGAACCACTGCACTCCAGCCTGGGTGACAGAGCGAGACTCTGTCTCAAAAAAAAAAAAAAAAAAAAAAAAAAAACCAGAGTCAGCACTGAATCCAGGAATTCTCTTGACCTCCTACTCCAGTTTGCTTTATCCTGGCACCTGTCTACCTCCCATGGTAGTAGGTTTGATGTGTCTTTTTATAGTATGATTAATCTACAGATAGATTCACCCTGTCAGAAAGGTTCTAAGAGGGAATAAAAGCTAATACAGTGCCCTTTTATGTGAACATGACTCCTGACCCACTGCAGCATGATGCTGTGTGGTTTTTCTAGCACCAGAGCCAGATTTGCATCAAATCATTCACCATCTTGTTCAGCATCATTGGCTAACTGACTAGCCAAGATCAGGGTACAGGCTGTAACCATGTCATTTGAAGAGCTAGACTAATAATTCTTATCAGGAGGCATAAAAATCACCTGAAGAGTTTACTTAAAATGCACATTTCTGGCCAGGCACTGTAGCTCACGCCTGTAATCCCAGCACTTTGGGAGGCCGAGGCGGGTGGATCACCTGAGGTCAAGAGTTCAAGACCAGCCTGCCCAACATGGTGAAACCTTTTCTCTATTAAAAATACAAAAATTAGCCAGGCATGGTGGCAGGTGCCTGTAATCCCAGCTAATCCAGAGGCTGAGGCAGAAGAATCATTTGAACCCAGAAGGCAGAGGTTGCGGTGAGCCAATGTTGTGCCACTGCAGTCCAGCCTGGGTGACAGAGCGAGACTCCGTCTCAAAAAAATATATAAATAAATAAATAAAATGCATATTTCTGGGCCCACCTTAGAGCTTCTGAATTAGTCTAGGGTGTAGCTCAGCAGTTCATTTTTTACCAGCATCCAAGCTCTTCTCATGAAGGCAGTCTTCCATATTTTGAAAAACACTGGGACCAGAAGTGGTGGCTCAAACCTAAAATTTCAGTATTTTGGGAAGCCAAGGCGTGAGGATTGAGCCCAGGAGTTCAAGGTTGCAATGAGCCATGGTCATGCCACTGCACTCCAGCCTGGGTGACAGAATGGGACTGTGTCTCAAAAAATAATAATAATAAATTTTTTTAAAGCACTGGGAGGCCGGGCGCGGTGGCTTATGCCTATAATCCCAACATTTTTGGGAGGCCAAGGCAGGCAGATCACAAGGTCAGGAGGTCGAGACCATCCTGGCTAACATGGTGAAACCCCATCACTACTAAAAATACAAAAAAAATTAGCTGGATGTGGTGGCGCGTGCCTGTAGTCCAGCTACTCGGGAGGCTGAGGCAGGAGAATCACTTGAACCTGGGAGGCAGAGATTGCAGTGAGCCGATAACATGCCACTGCACTCCAGCCTGGCAACAGAGCAAGACTCTATCTCAAAAAAAAAAAAAAAAAGCTTTGGGGAATAACCTATTAAAGATTCAAAATTTACTTGATTCTAGCATTTTAGTGCTTAATTATATATTGATCTTTTTTCCTTTAAGTATTGCAATTTTTTTGTTGTTGTTTTGTTGTTGTTGTTGAGATGGAGTCTCGCTCTGTTGCCCAGGCTGGTGTGCAGTGGCTCAATCTTGGCTCACTGCACCTTCTGCCTCCCAGGTTCAAGTGATTCTCCTGCCCCAGCCTCCCAAGTAGCTGGGATTACAGGTGCCCACCACCACACCTGGCTAATTTTTTTGTATTTTTAGTAGAGACAGAGTTTCGCCATGTTGCCCCGGCTGGGCTTCAACTCCTGACCTCAAGTGATCTGCCCACCCCAGCCTCCCAAAGTGCTATGATTACAGGCATGAGCCACTGTGCCTGGCCTTAATATTTCAAATTTACACAAATATATTTTTAAACTAATCTAGGAATATCTGTGAGAAAGATACAAACTATCAGCCAGGCATAGTGGCTCACACCTGTAATCCCAGCACTTTGGGAGGCTGAGGCAGGCAGATTGCTTGAACCCAGGAGTTTGAGACCAGCCTGGGCAACATGATGAAATCCTGTCTCTAGAAAAAATACAAAAATTAGCTGGGTGTGATGGCATGTGGCTGTAGTCCCAGCTACTTAGGAAGGTGAGGTGGGAGGTTCACCTGAGCCTGGGAGGTGGCGGCTGCAGTGAGCTGTGATTGCATCACTGCACTCCAGCCTGGGTGATGGAGACCTTGTCTCAAAAAAAAAAAAAAGATACAAACTGTAGTTGGCTTTGGGGATGATGAATAATCAGAAATAATAAAAAGAGTTATGGGTTAAGCCCAAAATCATTTGTGACAGGAAACCACGGGGGGACTCTGGGACCGTAGAGCTCCCTAGCATTGGTTTGGATTATGACTAGTGGTGAGGTAGATGACCAGGTAGCATATGTAATTAGTGATATATATACTTCTCTCTTTGCCTTTTTATTTTCTTTAATTGTGTTAACTAAACACTCAAGTTAGTATTACTGAGTCTGGTTGGAAGTAGTGAACAATTGGGGCCCTGTTACCATATTTGGTGCTAAAACTGTATTATGACTTCATTTACATGCAGCAGAGATCTAGTATTGAGGAAGTTTCCCACAAAACAAATCAAAAATAGGAGACATTTAAATTGCTTAATGAGTTTTATAGCAGCAGAAGAATCAGTATTCAATAATGGAGCTCTAAGATTAAAGTCATTTAAATTTTAGCTATAAGAGGAATTTAATACAGGAGGTACCTCCACAGTCTCAAAGCTATCAGCATTTTGTCAGTATACACCAAATTATGTGGAGATACTGAAGAAGAAAGGCTTCTAAGATTAGTCTGAATGTTGATGTTCTAATGAGTTATAGATCTATCCATTTTTATTCCATCTCAATATGCTTCATGGAGAAATGTGTTGGGTCTCTGTTGTAGGATACATTTATAGTAAGTATAAATACACAGTGCACAGTTTTGATTGTGTTTCTTAGATTTCAAGTTTTACTGATAATCTTAAAGCTGCTTACACTTAAAGACTGTGAAAAATAATGTAGATATAGCAACCCCTAAACCCATTTAATATTCTTGGTCAAATCAAGAATATTAAATTGAAAAGAGTACTCTTAATGTAAGGATGTTGGATTTGGAAGCATTTTCTACCATGTTTATAGGTGATACTATTCTATTATACAATAAATCTAACACACATGTACCTGACCAGTAATAGTTTAATAGAATATGAAAATAGAGGCCGGGCATGGTGCCTCACACCTGTAATCCCAGCACTTTGGGAGGCCGAGGCGGGCGGATCACCTGAGGTCAGGAGTTCGAGACCAGCCTAACCAATATGGTGAAACCTGGCCTCTACTAAAAATACCAAAATAAAAACAAGCATCATGGCATGCGCGTATAGTGCCAGCTACTCGGGAGGCTGAGAGAATTGCTTGAACCCAGGAGGCGGAGGTTGCAGTGAGCTGAGATCATGCCACTGCCCCCCAGCCTGGGCGACAGAGCGAGACTCCATTAAAAAAAAAAAAAAAAAAAGAATATGAAAATAGAGCACAGGGTTGCCTGTCAAGAGTAAGGAACAAAACCAGTTAGGAATCAAGGATGGATGCTGTTTTTAATCTCAGCAGGTTCAACTTGATGTTATATCCTCATGAGTCTAGGATAGTAAACCCAAATCATCTGTAGTTAACCTTGTGAATTAACTTTTTTGTGCCTCTGCTGTCTGAGAACAGACACCTCACATAAGCAGCAGTTTTCAGCATTCTCCTGCCCTTGACCAAAATTGTCCTCACCCAGTTACTACTGAGCACATTAAAGACTGCCTTTCAGCCCATCAGTGGCTGTATTTTAGAGACATTGTAGCCACTAAAGTATAAATTATCTGGCATTGTCTAATTTCCTACTGTGAGGTAATATTCTTTTTAATGTATTTGTTACCATCCTAATTTATTGGAGTTGGCGATGGTGTTAGATTTGGGTAATTTACTGAACTTTTCCCTGTTTATAACCTTTGCTTGTCCCTTATGAGGAAAGCTGATGTATTGCTACTTGCTGTGTTACAAAGAGTTTCATTACAGTTTCTAAATGGAAGAGATTGCCCCCAGCTGACTCTGCTCTCCAGGCTTTAGACTGGTACTGATATCACATCTAATAGGGTGGCTAAGAAGTAGTTGGACTTTGTGGTTAATAGGGAGCGGCAAATCAGCAAAAGTGTGTTCCACAGGCATATGGTGTGGTAGAGTGACATGCAGAGGTGCCTTTTTGAAAGTTTAGCTTATATCCTTTTGCTTTGAAGTTCATTACCAAGGAAAATATGCAAATATCACAACTTAACCATTTTATCCTAATGGTGCCTGTGATTAAATGTAAGTGAGAGGGGGCACTTCAGGAGCTTCCATATACATGTTGGCCTGATCCTTATAGTCCATAATTCCCACTGCCATGTGTGTAATCCTAAAGTTCAGGATCAAACCACCTGGGAGGTAAACTCTAGCTATGCTTTCCTCTTTCTAAAATAAAGTATGAGTTATAATTGGACTTTTTAAGCAAGAGTATGAATAGGATGATGACTACTGACATACCATTTACACAGAAGACCTATAATAAATTACATCATTGGTGTCAAATGTTCTCAACAGTCCCTCTTCTTGTCATGGAATTTATAGTTATTTGCTGTTCATTGCTTTTATCTTAAAAAAAAAAAAAAAAAAAAGTTATGTATTACCTTGTCTAGATCTTTAAACTGAATTGTCAGTGTAATAGTTACTATTTTTTTTTTTAGATGGATTCTCACTCTGTCACCTAGGCTGAAGTGCAGTGGCACCATCTCAGTTCACTGCAATCTCTGCCTCCACACCCAGCTATTATTTTGTTAATTTAAAATGAAAATATTTATTTGCCCAGTTTGGCGATCAGCAGCTCAGAAGTGACTTATATTCAGCCAGAGAAATGGGACTGGGTGGAGAAGATGGGATCATATCCCATATCACACAGTATGTTTAAAAGAGGTTTGAAGGCCGGGCGTGATGGCTCATGCCTGTAATCCCAGCACATTGGGAGGCCAAGGCAGGCGGATCACCTGAGGTCAGGAGTTCGAGACCAGCCTGGCCAACATGGTGAAACCCTGTCTCTACTAAAAAATATAAAAATTAGCCAGGCGTGGTGGCGGGCGCCTGTAGTCCCTGCTACTCTGGAAGCTGAGGCAGGGAGAATTGCTTGAACCCAGGAGGTGAAAGTTGCAGTTAGCCAAGATTGTGCCACTGCACTCCAGCCTGGGCAATAGAGTGAGACTCGGTCTCAAAAAAAAAAAAAGTTTGAATTTACAGAATGTAACACTCTCTCTGAAGAATATAAAGAGTATACATCCCAATAATTATACTTTCATTTTTTTCTTTTTCTCTTTTTTTTTTTTTTGATCACTTTGAAGACAATATTGGAAGGATGCCCTCTTGGTTATATATTCAAGCTCTTTGGATACAGTAGCTATAGTTTTTTTTGTTTTTTTTTTTTTGTAATTGGTTATTGTGACTTCTGAAATAAGACCTCCCTTGTGTGAAACTCAGCATGAGGCCAGAATGTGTTAGTCCTGTCTCCTTGCCACTTAATACCTTGCCAACACAACAACCCGTGATTGATGGGTGCATGTTTGAGGCCTATTAGTGCTGACATGAAGTACTGCCTGAAAAAGGACAGCTGTGTCCTCTCTCCCCATTTGTTTTAGGATTTTCACAATAAGGTACATCCCCCAAATGGTTTCTGCTACCCTTTTAAAAATCAAATGTTTCTACATGAGCCGTAAATTTTTGAGAATATGTTTTGCTGTATCAGCTCTTGCCTGACAAGGAATAACATGAACTAGCTTGTGTTTCATGATCATCTTCCAAGTGCTGTGGCAACTGAGTTGGCCACTTCTTATTGGGCAGTTCTTGGCACCAGTACAATGCTAGGTTCTGAACTTGCACCATACTCTTATCATCATCCAAATTGCAGTGTTTTGGTTCAGTTGGAAAATCAAGGTTACAGTTTGCGTTCACAGAATGACATTTCCCGGCAGTGCTCTGTGTTTATCAGAGTGATGTAATTTGATATATTAAAAATCAACAATTGTTTTTTCCTCAGCTTTGTTTTTTAGACTGAAAATGATTTGGAGTTTTAGTGAACCTTTATATTTTGATACCACAGGAGCCAGCCACATGGCCAAATGTGTCGGCTGCCAGTGTTTGCTTGACATACAGGAGAACATTAAGGAACTCTCAGGTTGGGAAGAGGGAAGTGTTGACCAGGACATCAGACTGAGGTTTCTTGTTTTTGTTTTTTTAAACACTATTTTTAAACTCTTAAGTAGAGGGACTATTTTAATATTCTAGGTATAGAATAAATAGCTTTTATAACAGTCTTAGTTCTAAATGAAACAGATACCATCTTTGTAAACACTGAGAACTAGACCCTGAATGTAGAAGTAGGGAAAAGAATAAACAAGTTTACTTGGTTTATCAGAAGCCATAAAACCCTTACAGCAGATTAAAACCTTTTCTCCTTTTGTTTGTAGATGGCTCTGAGAGATTCCTCTGCGAATCTGTTTTTAGCTATCAAGTGGCATCCACGCTTAAACAGGTGAAACATGGTAAGCACATGAGTGTTGTGTACTTGACTGTGAGAATAAATTTGCTGGGGGTTGGATGAGGCTGTGACAAAAACCCCCAAACTCAGCAAGGCTATTTTAGTGGACTTCCTAAATTTAAGAACATTCTAGGTCTTAATCTGGTCATAATGTCCACATTGAGCCTTAAGTTTGGGGCCGGGTGCAGTCTCACATCTGTAATCCCAGCAGTTTGGGAGGCTGAGGCAGGTGGATCACTTGAGGTCAGGAGTTCAAGACCAGCCTGGCCAACATGGTGAAACCACATCTCTACAAAAAAAAAATTAGTCAAGCATGGTGGTGCACACCTGCAGTCCCAGCTACTTGGGAGGCTGAGGTGGGAGGATCACTTGAGCCCGGGAGGTTGAGGCTGCAATGAGCTGGAATCGCACCACTGCACTCTAGCCTAGGCAACAGAGTGAGACCCTGTCTGAAAAACAAAAAAGTTGGTTGTCCAGGGAGTCAGTGCTTCCTGCTTCTCTTGTGTTGCTTTTTCCTGTCCTGTCCGAAACCTCCTTTTACTGTTGTCCTCCACTGGTTACCATCATTATCTCCAAGTATTTGTACAATACCTCCTGGTCTATCTATACTCTAACATCCTGGTAGCACCTTTTCTGTTAACATTAAGCCTCACTAGGCCTTCATTTCTGCATCAACAAACTGTGTTCCCCCACCAGACCATTTCTCCATTGAAACATTATGTAGGGGGAAAAGCTGTAATTGCCTCTAACACTAGGATTTTAGTCCACAAATCACTATGGCATAGAGGATGCATACTTTTTTTAAGAACAGAGCACATCCGGGCCGGGTGCGGTAGCTCACACCTCTTATCTCAGCATTTTGGGAGGCTGAAGCAAGACGACTGCTTGAGCCCAGGAGTTCAAGACTGACCTGGGCAACATGGTGAGAACCCATCTCTAAATATATATATATATAAAATTAGTGGAGAGTGGTGGCACATGCCTGTGGTCCCAGCTACTTGGGAGGCTGGCGTGGGAGGATTGCTTGAACCCAGGAGGCATACTCCAGCCTTCATGACAGAGTGAGACCCTGTCTCTGGAAAAAAAAAGAATAGGGCACATCCTGAAAATGTGATCATTTTATTTTAAAATGACTTTTTTATTTTTTGAGATGGAGTCTCTCACTGTCTCCTGGGCTGGAATATAATGGCATGATCATGGCTCACTACAACCTTCGCCTCCTGGGTTCAAGTGATTCTCCTTCCTCAGCCTCCCAAATAGCTGGGACTACAGGCACCCACCACCACGCCCAGATAATTTTTGTACTTTTAGTAGAGACGGGGTTTCACCCACCATGTTAGCCAGGATGGTCTCGATCTCTTGACCTTGTGATCCACCTGCCTTGGCATCCCAAAGTGCTGGGATTATAGGCATGAGCCACCATGCCCAGCCTAAAATGACTTTTAACATTAGAAGAAACTCCGACTTAAAAAAAAAAAAGGCCAGGCGCTGTGGCTCACGCCTGTAATCCCAGCACTTTGGGAGGCCGAGGCAGGCGGATCACAAGGTCAGGAGATCAAGACCATTCTGGCTAACACGGTGAAACGCCGTCTCTACTAAAAATACAACAAAATTAGCTGGGCATGGTGGCAGGTGCCTGTAGTCCTAGCTACTCGGGAGGCTGAGGCAGGAGAATGGTGTGAACCCGGGAGGCGGAGCTTGCAGTGAGCCGAGATCGCGCCACTGCACTCCAGCCTAGGCAACAGAGCAAGACTCCGTCTCAAAAAAAAAAAAAGAATAGGCCGGGCACAGTGGCTCACGCCTGTAATCCCAACACTTTGGGAGGCCAAGGCGGGCGGATCACCTGAGGTCGGGAGTTCGAGACCAGCCTGACCAACATGGAGAAACCCCATTTCTGCTAAAAATACAAAATTAGCCAGGCATGGTGGCGTATGCCTGTAATCCCAGCTACTCGGGAGGCTGAGGCAGGAGAATCGCTTGGACTCGGGAGGCAGAGGTTGCAGTGAGCTGAGATCATGCCATTGTACTCCAGCCTGGGCAACAAAAGTGAAACTCTGTCTCAAAAAAAAAGAAAAAAGAAAAAAAAAATTAAGCTTCTGACCAGCATAGAATAAGACCCCATTATGAGAATTTTGAGGGTCAGGCGCAGTGGCTCACATCTGTAATCCCAGCACTTTGGGAGGCCGAGGCAGGCAGATCACCTGAGGTCAGGAGTTCGAGACTAGCCTGGCAAACATGGTGAAATCCCATCTCTACAAAAATACAAAACTTAGCCGGGCACTGGTGGATGCCTGTAGTCCCAGCTACTTAGGAGGCTGAGGCGGGAGAATCACTTGAACCCAGGAGGCGGATGCTGCAGTGAGCTGAGATGGCGCCATTGCACTGCAACCTGGGCAACAAAGCAAGTCCATCCCCCCGCAAAAAAAAAAAAAAAGAGAGAATCTTGAGGGGAAAAAAAATCCATCTAGAAATTGACTTTTTTTTTGAGACGGAGTCTCACTCTCTGTCGCCAGGCTGGAATGCAGTGGGACAATCTTGGTTCACTGCAACCTCTGCCTCCAGGGTTCAAGCGATTCTCCTGCCTCAGCCTCCCGAGTAGCTGGGACTACAGGCGCATGCCACCACGTCCAGCTAAATTTTTTGTATTTTTATAGAGGCGAAGTTTCACCATGTTGGTCAGGATCGTCTCGATCTCTTGACCTCGTTATCCGCCCGCCTCGTCCTCCCAAAGTGCTGGGATTACAGGCATGATCCACCGCACTCGGCCTAGAAATTATTTTTATACCAGTCATCATCTTGGTGGCTGGTGGCAGTCTCATGGGTAATACATTGTTGTATAGTATTTTCTCCTCAACTCTTTACAGATCAGCAAGTTGCTCGGATGGAAAAACTAGCTGGTTTGGTAGAAGAGCTGGAGGCTGACGAGTGGCGGTTTAAGCCCATCGAGCAGCTGCTGGGATTCACCCCATCTTCAGGTTGATGCTGCCTGGATGGTCGCCTCTGGTGCGCAGCAAGTGCAAAGCCAGTGGGGGACTTTCTCACAGCTTGCATAGCCATCCAGAGATCCACAGCTACATCGCTGAATTGTTAATGCACATTTGTACTTGGTTTCTCTGTATCTATTCACAGGCAACAAATACTTATATGTATGATCTTTCAGGGAATATTTTGTTTGTTTTTAAAAGTATTGGGAATCAGATTAAGACAGTCGGTTTCAGAGAACCAGGAGGTTTGGGGTTAAGAGATACTTAAAAATTTTCACAAGCCAGGTAGGGCATATATCAGATTTGGCCAACTGATTGGCATCTGTCCTGTCATCCATACGGTGCCTGGAAATATTCACCAGTCAAGGTCAAGGTCAGCATCTGTGGTTAAAAATACAGCATTCTGACCTAAAAAATTATTTTGCAGATGAATGTGATTTCAACTCAGGAGCTATCCAAATGAGGATTAAATATTCATTTTTTTTCCTATTTTTAGACATCAATTCTATAGATTCTAACTTTTTCTAACCTCTTCTTGACATGCTAAATGCTGGCAAAAAGAAGTGCTTTTTGGATATGGCAACACTTGTAAAAATAAAGCAGTAAGCAAAATCCTTTTAAACACAGAAATCCTGAGTTCTTCTCATTGGTGGACTCAAGCAATTCTGTAGCAAATAAATCCTTTGAAAGAGCTCCAAGTTGGTGGCTTTATTCTTTCAAAATCTGAGGGATTTGGGATGAGGCAAAGAGGTCAAATTACTTTTTAGAAGAAGAGAATCTAAAAACCGTTTCTCCTAAACAAATGGTAGACTGGCTTTTCTTCAGGGATATGTGTCTTTTTTGGAATACATGAATTTATCTTACTGATAATTTAAGTAGGTTTTTTTTTTTTTTTTTTTTTAAGAAACAAGGTGTTGCTCTGTTGCCCAGTTGGTCTTGAACTCCTGGCCTCAAGAGATCCCCCCCGCACCTCGGCCTCCAAAGCGCTAGGATTACAGGCATGAGCCACTGTGCCTGGCCTCAAGTAAGTTTTTATACCATGATAGGGAAAAACCTGGAAGGCTAAGAGATGTACTTTGTTTTCCTTCATGGGACCCCACGTTCCACAGTAAACAACTGGGATAATCATATATTACCTTGTATGCAAATTTTGCCTTAGACAGCATTTGTCTGTTCCTTGTTAATAACTTGCACCTGATCTGCTTAGAGTTGCTTAATTATAAGTAAATATAATCCCAGTAGCAGTTAGCCTTAATCCGAAGAGTTCAAAATGTTTAACACGTTCTACCTGACAGGAGGTGGTGACCTCATTCAGTCGGTTAAGAGCCTGAGCCCTGTGAAGTTAAACACCTGCTCATGGTCACATAGCCCAGGCAGAAGAAAATCTCGGAACTTGGAATAGATCCCAGTTGCCTGATAGTTCATCTCATTATTGCCTCTAAAGCAAACTGGAGACTCGGCACGGTGGCTCCCCACTTTAATCCCAGCACCTGGGGAGGCTGAGGTGGGTGGATCACTAGAGATCAGGAGTTCAAGACCAGTCTGGCCAACATGGTGAAACTCGGTCTTTATTGAAAATACAAAAATTAGCCCGGCGTGGTGGCACATGCTTGTAATCCCAGATACTCAGGAGGCTGAGGAACGAGAATCGCTTAAACCCGGGAGGTGGAGGTTGCAGTGAGCCGAGATTGCACCATTGCACCCCAGCCTGAGTGACAGAGCGAGACTCTGTCTCAATAAAAATAAAAATAAAAAAAATCAGAGCACGAGAAGTACCAGTCCAACTCACCTTTTCCATATTAATAATTCTCAACTAAAAGAAGTTCCATATTCGAAAGCATTTTAGTTTTTTAACAGTACTTATTGGCATCAACCATCTTGATAATCAAGGGAAAAATTAAAAATACCTAGACTGCAATAAACCTTTAAATCGGATTTTCAGTGAGAATTTAGAAGCAATCACTACCTTTCTCTTGCTTCATTTGTATAACCATGCAGCACAGGCACTGTGTTACCTCATCTTTACGCTTTGGTATTTGAACTTATTACAGAGTTTTTTCTCTAAATTGGATGTTTCTTAATATGACCTTGGAAACTGAAGTGATCTTAGCATTAAACAGAAATGCTTTCTGAAACACCTTTCCCATTGATCACTTAGCTGCTATTTTAGTCTTACCAAGAATAAGACTCTTACAGTTTTTTAAAGAGAGTACCTCCCTCTCTGTACCTTTCTGTCAGTCATTATGTTGCATCGTCCACAATGCCTGTTACCATGCTTTGGGCTCAAAGATGGTCCCAGTTGCTCATCTGTCATCTGTTATCTCTTGTGCCAGTCAGTCACAGGCATGAATTATAATCCTCTGAATAACACAGCAAGATACATAATACCCCCTAATATAGAAAAGGAACTTGAAGCTCAGAGCAAGTGTCACTTGCCAAGGCTGCACAGCTAAGTCAATAGCCAAATCTGGACTTCAATTCAACTCGGCCAGAATCCAAAGCAGCTTCTTTTAGGTTCACTATGCCACATCCCACCAAACCCAACCCAGCACACTGTATTAGGAAAAATCCTAAAACTTTTGATGAAATGGTAGAATGAAGTAACTACCTGGAGAAAATAAGCCTTCCGCTACCTTCCCTCCTCCCTCCCAGGGCTTGACAAAAAGAGATCTCGAGCATGAGGAAGGAACAGCTTCCTCAGAAACAGACAGGAATTAGCTGTATGTTGGCTTCTGCATACCCTCTTAAAATTCAATATGGGGCCGGACGCGGTGGCTCACGCCTGTAATCCCAGCACTTTGGGAGGCCAACGCGGGCGGATCACCTGAGGTCAGCAGTTCGAGACCAGCCTGACCAACATGGAAAAAACCCGTCTCTACTAAAAATACAAAATTAGCTGGGCGTGGTGGCGCATGCCTGTAATCCCAGCTACTCGGGAGGCTGAGGCAGGAGAATCACTTGAACCCGGGAGGCAGAGGTTGCAGTGAACCGAGATCGAGCTGCTGCACTCCAGCCTGGTGACAGAGCGAGACTCTGCCTCAAAAAAAAAAAATTGTTCATGTCAGTCTGACATATAATCCTATATAACTGTTTTGTCTCATGATGATGAGATATCAACAGTAAAATAGCTAGTTTTACACAGTCATACAAAAAATTTCCCATTTTTGACTTCACAATTATCCAGCATCAGCTTTAAAGTCCAGAATTTTTACTAATACACAAGCGTGTTATTGATTACTGCCATCCCATAGCTGACACACCGGAATGACAGTGTCTGGAAACTAAATCAAGATCCTGACCCAAGTATCTCTCTTTATCTGCTCATTTACTTGGAGCCTGTGGCTCCCCTTCCCCTCCATGACCGGGAGTCCTGGAATCTGCTGATCCCAGTCAGAGTGCCAGATACTGAAGTGGTAGAAACTTTGGGCCTTACGGCTAGGACTTTCACCTCTGTAAAGGGAAGGGGCCAGAGCTGGGAGATTCCTGTCATCCAGAGGAAAAGGAGGAAGCCGCTTAAGAAGCTGACGCCCTTTTGGGCAAATGTAGGAAATGTTACACTTAAGGCTGGGCATGGTGGCTCACACCTGTAAGCCCAGCACTTTGGGAGGCCAAGGCAGCCAGATCACCTGAGGAGTTCGAGACCAGCCTGACCAACGTGGAGAAACCCCGTCTCTACTATAAATACAAAATTAGCTGGGCATGGTGGCGTATGCCTCTAATCCCAGCTGCTCGGGAGACTGAGGCAGGAGAATCGCTTGCACCCAGGAGGCAGAGGTTTTGGTGAGCCGAGATCATGCCATTGCACTCCAGCCTCGGCAATAAGAGTGAAACTGTCTCAAAAAAAAAAAAAAAGAAATACTACACTTAGAGGAGGCTGCTTTGCCTCTCCCTGTCCTTTTGCCAAAGCACCTAACCTTGCCGAAAATATCTTGCCACACCTTTTAATTGCCTAAAGTTCAACCAAAACCAAGCCTTTCATTTCATAAAAGAGGTAAGTCTTAAATAACAGGTACTCGGGAGAGTTAAAAGCTTGGGCTACAGGCAGACTGTAATGATACCAGATCTTTTCCTGTTTTCCCAGAGCTGAGTTTGGGATGGAGATTGCATCAAAGGAGCCTGATGCTTTGCCACTAGCCTTCTGTGCATACATTTATTAGCATCTGGTCAAAGAGAGGGTCTCAGAATTGTAGAACTGAAAGAGACCTTAGAGGTCATCTAGTTCACCCCTCATTTACATATAGGAAGTAGGGATGTTGTTTGTCTGGTTTACTGCTGCATCCTCAGTACCTAAGATACTACTTGGCACATAGTAGGTATATCATAGGTCTCTGCTAAGTGAGTGACATAGGAATTTGTGTGTTACCTTTGTTTTAGAAGCTACTAGCTATTTCTAAGCCAGGCGCTATGGCTCACACCTATAATCCCAGCACTTTGGAAGGGCGAGGCTGGAGGATCACCTGAGGTCAGGAGTTCAAGACCAGCCTGGCCAACATGGCAAAACCCCGTGTCTACTAAAAATAAAAAAATTAGCCGGGTGTGGTGGTGGGTACCTGTAATCCCAGCCTCATGGGAGCCTGAGGCAGGAGAATGGTTTGAACCTGGGAGGGAGATTGCAGTGAGCCAAGATCACGCCACTGTACTCAAGCCTGGGTGACAGAGTGAGATTCCGTCTCAAAATAAATAAATAAATGAAACTACTAGCTATTTCTAGCGCAAAATCCATAGTGGAGTAATCCCTGAGGTAATTCAGATAGTTAATGGGCAGAGCCAAGACTATCACCCAGATATCAGCCCAGAGCTATAACGTCACCTTGACAGGTGGAGGCTGTGGAACAAATGGAAGCTGTTCCAAAGCATTCATATCTCATATGATCCCATCCACGCGATGAGCCAAGGCAAAGGGCACCGGTGGTTCCCTACCGTCATGGGCCCCGGCCGTGGGCCTGGTGGTAGGGTCATATGTCAGCATCCACGACCTAGTCTCACCTCACAGGTACTCTAATTTCTCCTGTCTGTCAAGTTTCCCAAGGAGGAGTTTTCCCAAATCAGCCTGGTTCTTTTTATAATATAAGCTGTTTAGAGGTCAGGCGTGGTGGCTCATGCCTGTAATTCCAGCATTTTGGGAGGCCAAGGCGGGCAGATCACCTGAGGTCGGGAGTTCTAGGCCAGCCTGGCTAACATAGTGAAACCCCATCCCTAATAAAAATACAAAAATTAGATGAGGCCAGGTACGGTGGCTCACACCTGTAATCCCAGCACTTTGGGAGGCTGAGTTGGGCAGATCACCTGAGGTCAGGAGTTTGAGACCAGCCTGGTCAATGTGGCAAAATTCCGTTTCTACTAAAAGTACAAAAATTAGCTGGTGTGGTGGTGCACATCTGTAATCCCAACTACTCGGGAGGCTGAGGTGGGAGAATCTCTAGAACCCAGGAGCCAGAGGTTGCAGTGAGCCGAGATCATACCACTGGACTCCAGCCTGTGAGACAGAGTGAGACATTGTCTCAGAAAAAAAAAAATAGCCGTGTGTGGTGGCACATGCCTGAATCCCACTTACCCAGGAGGCTGAGGCAGGAGAATCTGTAGAACCTGGGAGGTGGAGGTTGCAGTGAGCCAAGACCACACCACTGCATTCCAGCCTGGGTGACAGTAAGACTCCGTCTCAAAAAAAAAAAAAAAAAAAAAAAACCTGTTTAGAGCAGGTAATGAAACAACATACAATTTGTTACTAACAGTAATAGAGAGGATATTCCTTTCCAAATGCCTGTCATTCTTTTCAGCAGACACTTAGCACTGTGTGTCTAGTGTCTGCTAGATGCCAAGG